TGAAATCGATTATTTTGAATTAAGAGTATTTGGGTTTCCGGGTTATTCCAAAATTAAGAAAGTCCATTTTTGTGGTCTATGTAAAAGGTTACAAGTTTTGGGATCCAGAGATAAGGATGATGGTGATAAGTAAGGATGTAGTCTTTGATGAAACAATAATGTTTAAAAATCTCCAGATGAAAAAAAGCTCAGCTCAGGTGAGCACGTAGCAAGAGCCAAGTGGTATAGGTAGAGCTAAACAATGTTCGCATGGAGATTAATGCTGAGGACGTGGATAGTTCTTGCTCAAAAGATGAGCAGTGTCTTGTATTGCCATAGACAGACCACGTCACACTATCATGCCACCAATGAAGTATGGATTTGAGGATTCAGCTTCTTATGTACTCATTACCAACAATAGCGATCCTATAACGTTTTAAGATGCTATTGGTAGTCAAGAGAAAACTGAATGGATTATGAAGGAGGAAATTGAGTCATTGCATAAAAATGATACCTGGAATTTGATAGAGCTTCTAGAGGTAAAGAAACCGATAGAGTATAAGTAGATATGTAGAAAGCAAGAAACAATGATAAAAAATGAAGGAAAAAGATATAAGGCTCGATTAGTAACAAAGGAATACTTACAAAAGAAGGGAGTAGATTATGATGAAATGAAATTTTCTCTCCTATCTTCAGACACACTTCCATTAGAATTTTCTTGACAATGGTGCCCAGTTTTAATTTGGAGTTACAGTAGTTGGATGTGAAGACTGTTTCCTTTCATGTTGATTAGGAAAAGTAGGTTTTCATGGAGCAACCAGAGGGATTATTGGAACTTGGAATAGAGAATCTTGTGTGTAAACTGAAGAAATCATTATATGGGCTTAAGTAGTCTCCACGGCAATGGTACAAGAAGTTCGACTCCCGCATGGTTTAGATTGGCTATAGTTGCTATGAGTATGACTGTTGTGTTTACTTTTCTTGAAGATAATTCATATATTTTTTTGATGTTGTATATCAATGACATGTTAATTGTTGCTTAGAACATAAATGAAATAGATAGACTGAAATATTTGTTGAGCAGTAAGTTTAATATGAAAGGCTTGTAATCGTTTAAGAAGATTCTTTGCATGAAGATCAACAGGGATAGGAGGCCATAAAATTATGGGTGTCTCAGAAAAATTATTTAAAAAAAGTATTGGAGAGTTTTAGCATGTCCTATGCAAAATCATTGGCAAATCACTTCAAATTGTCTAGTAATCAATGCCCAAAGAATGAAAAAGAAATTGCAAAGATGTCTTATGCCAACTCAATTGGATATTTAATATATGCAATGGTGTGCACCGAATCAGATCTAGCACATGCAGTCAGTATGGTGAGCAAGTACATTGTTAATCCCCAACAGAGAGTATTGGATAGCTATAAAGTAGATTTCCAGGTACTTAAGAGGTATAATGGAGTATGAGATCATGTTTAAGAGACAATATGATGATATTTCAATTCAGGAATATATAGATGCAAATTGTACGGGCAACTTGGATGACACAATGTCTCATGCAGGTTATGTTTTCACACTTACAGATGGGCCTTTATATTGAAAATCAATGGTACAATTACTTGTGGCATTATCCACAACTGAAGCAGAGTACATTGTAGCAACTGAGGCAGCTAAGGAAATTTGTAGTTGAGAAGGCTTTTTAGAGAGCTTGGGGATCAAGCAAGGTGGAATGAAGCTATATTGTGATATTCAAAGCAACATCTTTTTAGCAAAAAATCAGATTTATCATGCAAGAACCAAACAAATTGATGTGAGATTTAACAAGATAAGGGAGTTGGTTACTTCAAGATAATTGTTCTTAAAGAAAGTGCATACCTCAGAGAATACTGTAGATGTGTTGATAAAGCCAATCACAATGGACAGGTGCAAGCGTTGCTAGAACTTGATTAACATCTTTAGGAGTTAGAAAGGATGTGTCCTAACCCGTTGGTCCTAGATGGTGTGGTTCTCTAGGTTATGTTTTTTAGTGTTTTTCTCCTAAGGGGTGGACATATCACACCGAATAGAACGGAACGAATCAGCGATATCGACTTTGAGGGTTTTAATTCACTGTCTATTTGCTAGGACGTTGAATGGTTGGGTTATCCTATAGTACGGTATAAGGTTATTTTCTTGTATGGGCTTTAAAGTCTTGTATGGCTTGGGCTAGAGTTAGTATAAATATCTCTGCTTTGCTCTTCATGGACATAGGCACATTGTCAAATCATGAAAATACTTGTGTTGATTTTTCTCTTTCATGTCTTTACTATTGCGCATAAAACCTAACACTTTATATCTCTAATAGCTAACTCATGTTCATGTGGATTTGTTTCTGTGTTCTTTGCCAGGGTACTTGTGTTCTATTGGACAATTCAATTGTTATCTATCTCATCTGATTTTCCAAACTTTGAATAGAGTTTTATTGATTTTGTAATGCAGTTTCAGTTTTTGTAATGTATTGAACAAGCATATCTTTCAATGAGTGCTTCTTCTCCCATTGTTGTTTAAATCCTGGTGATTTTTCCTAAATCTGAATTTGTTGACCTTGATTAGTAACCCTTAAGAAGTTTGGATGAGTTTATCCTTTTTCGTGCAAGTTATACTCATTTATCTTTTATTCTTGTCGCATTGACTCACCACATTCTTCACTCATTGATGTATGGTCCAAATCAACTATTGTATATTTGTCATTTGGTCACCGAACTTTGAATCATTGAGTTTATCCTTTTCGGTCGATTTTTCGTTCATTTATTCCAATTTTAATTTCAATCATTGAATTTTACCTAAAAAACAATTAATACCCAAGATTAACATCTAATTTATCGAAAGTATTCCCAATATTCTAGTTTGAAGGCTTATATATGTGTATAAATTACAATTATCAGTTGACAAGCATTCTATGGAATTTTTCGTGGTAAAGAAATCATGTCTCACTCAGCTATACTTTATACTTTTAATTTATAATATAAGGTTCGAGAATTCAAATTCCTCATTGGTTGGAGGCGGAGACCTAAAAGTTTTGCATATGGTATGTTGATTATAAAAATAGAAAGAAAAAGTCAAGTTACCGTATAGAAGAAGCCCAACATATGCAATTAGAACGAGTTTTAGCAAATTTTGAGAAAGCATGTTGCACAAGAAACTCAACACATTTAATTAGAACAACGCTTGTAAATTTTGAGAAAAGATTTCACATGGAATCTTAAGTATATCAATTTATTTTATAGTTTGTGAGACGTACACCACATTTACACTCCACTAAAACAAAACAAAACGTAGCTTTAACTTGACATGGATTGCACCACATGAAGGCATGTGCAATTAGAATGATGGTTTTTCTTGTGTATGAACCTTCGGTAGCATCCCATGTATGGTTGTCTTAGCATGCCAAATAATACATGTATTAATTTGTTTTCCTTTGTGTTGAGTAGTCACCACAACCACATAAAACTGATAATAATAAAAAGAAATAGACACATTGTAAAATTCTTGTCCTCATAGATTATAAGAAACGATGGGAATCCTACTTCATAATCAAAGATCAAAGATGACTTGATATAGGATGTTTAATCAAGAAGGTAACTTTCAAATGCTTAATTAAATATGTAGAGAGTCGAGTCCACTTGGGGCGAATAGGGCAAAACTCACTAAATCAAGTTTCTCCGGGACAATAATGCCCTCTTAGATTTTTATTTAGAATATTTTATTCTAAAAAATAATGATTTTAAATAAAATAAATCGTGTTTACATAAAGAAAAGGAACGTTTGCAGTACAAATTAAATGCCTCACTCCAAAAAGGATATTACATAAGTTTTGACTTGTTTTGATGGTTTTTTCAAACGATTGAATGAGTCTCCACGAGCTTTTTGAGTCTCCTAGCCTAGCCATGCATTATAGATTCTAGAAAAATTCTAAACGAACAGGCCTGGGGGCAGGCCGTGTTGACAGGCTCTAGATTCTAAGGGTAAATTTCATCTGTAGTCACAATTTTTTACAAAATCTCAATTTGGTCAAACTTTAATTTTAATTAGGTAAGTGAACTTTAATTTTGATTTAAATCTTTTAACTCTTTTCACATTTTGTCACCTATTGTCCCTGACCTAGTAGTAGTAGTAGTAGTAGTAATAATCATCATCATCATCTTCATTTGCAATTATACTATAAATGATCAATGTAACCGTTAAATGATATCCTAGTATCCAAAGTGAGAGAATGAGGGTAATAATAATATCTTCAAACTATACAGACGTATTTTCATTTTTTATCTATTATGACATGATGAAATCGATAGTTGGCTTACTACACGGTGATTACGTGGATGATTCGTTGCAGTATGATTATCAGTTAAGCAAATTTCATTAATTTGGAGGATAGCATTAGACTTGAGAAAACTCAAACTAAAAATGAAGTTTAGTGATCCAATTGAAATTCAATTGAAGTTCAATGATCCAATTCAAACAATTAAGATTTTGATGAAAATTCCGAGAGCACAGATGAAATTTATCCTAGATTTCTAGGGTAACATACCCTAGAGGGCGAGGATAGACTTGTCTTTTCATCAAAGATGAGAAAATGGTAGGTTTTTTTTTTTCCCTCTCTCTCTCTCTCTCTACAAGTTAAGGAGAGTTGGAATTAGGACCAAATAGATAACGAGGTGATATAGATGTTTTTCTACTTGAGGATAAGACATTGGCACATGGAGAAGAATAGACCCTTCTTGTTTTCCATCAAACCCCTAAATTGGTTTTGAGAGGCTGTAATGACTTCCTTTTCTTGTAATGAAGAGGGCAAAATAGTCCTTTCAAATTTTTGTATTTTTCCAAATTCACTCACCTTCTTGTCCCCATCTTGCAACCCTATGATAATACCACACCCCACATAAACAAGCACTCACAAATGCAAAATCCACCTAGCTAGTGAGTAGTCGCAATCTCCTCCATTTCTATATAAACTCATCATACACCATCATATTTCTTCACAACATATTTTCCTCTACGTTATCCCATTATCCTACTTTTCTAGCCCTGCTACATGTATAACTAATACGGGACCAATAACCAAAAGTTCAAACAAGTTCTCTCTCCTTAATTTCCAAACACATCCAAAAACTATGCCTTCAAGACTACTCTCTCAAGCTTTTGGAGCCAACCCCCTCAATCACCCTCATAAGTACTTGGATTTGAACTCCATCAAGGAATTGCCTGATTCACATGAATGGACATCGGCTCACAATGAACAGCCCTCCATCGAGGGGACTAATGTCGAATCTGTCCCTATTATCGATCTAAATAACAAGAATGCCATGGAACTTATAGGTCATTCATGCAAAACATGGGGGGTTTTCCAACTGGTTAACCATAGTATTTGTAAGAGCTTGCTTAAAGATGTAGAGTTAGCCGGTAAGAGGCTTTTTTCTCTCCCCATACAGCAAAAACTTGAGGCGGCCCGTTCTCCAGATGGAGTTGGTGGCTATGGAATGGCCCGTATTTCTTCATTCTTTCCCAAGCTTATGTGGTCTGAAGGGTTCACTGTAATTGGTTCACCATTAGAGCATGCCCGTCAACTTTGGCCCCAAGACTACCAAAACTTCTGGTACTTTCACGTCTAAATGCACATAAAATTAAAAAGAATATCAATTTCAGTCATTCAGACCTGTTCAGCAATATTTCTAATACTTGTGTATTAAATTTTCTTTTCAGTAACACAATTGAAGCTTATCAAAACCAGATGAAAAAGCTAGCTGGAAAACTGATGTGGCTCATGCTTGGATCGTTAGGAATAACAAAGGAAGATGTAAAATGGGCGGATCAGGGAGAATTCGAAGGGGCATGTGCAGCTCTACAATTAAACTACTATCCGGCCTGTCCCGACCCGGACCGAGCTATGGGTCTTGCACCACATACTGATTCTACAATACTCACCATTCTCCACCAGAGCAACATAAGTGGTCTACAAGTGCTCCGGGAGGGCTGCGGGTGGGTCACGGTGCCTCCGCATCCCGAAGCATTAGTGATTCATGTAGGTGACCTTCTGCATATATTATCCAATGGGTTTTACACAAATGTTCGCCACCGGGCCGTGGTGAACCGGACCCAACATCGTTTGTCACTAGCATACCTTTGTGGGCCACCCTCAAATGTCAAAGTCTCCCCACTACCAAAATTGGTAGACCAGTTTCACCCTCCACTCTATCGACCAATAACTTGGAGCGAGTATCTTGGCACTAAAGCTAAGCATTTCGACAAAGCACTCACATCAGTACGGCTTTGTGCTCCTCGAAATGGATTTATCGATACAAACGATCAAAACAGTGTTAAAGTTGGTTAACGATGAAACCGCTACAACGACTACAACAAATTACTATAGCTTTTAGCTTTACTATTTGGAAAATAACTGTATCTATACATTTTTTTTTCTTTTTTTGTAGTGAAAATTCTCTATTTAATTTCTCTCCTTAACTAAAAAATTCTCACTTCCCTGCTTGGAGGGAAGTTTATGCAGTACGTCTAAAACGCCTTGTTGATTCATTAAAAGACCAAGAATTACACTAGTTTGTTTCGTACACGGAAAGAATGAGGATACAAATGATGTCAAGGGATCCAAACGAAAGTATACTTGTTGGCCTTTTGTCTTTCAGAAGAAAGAAAAAGAGGAAAAATTCCCATTTGAATATTAGGCAATGCGATAGATAAGCGGACACAACTTCACCTCACTCCCCTCTCCCGGGATATAAAGCAAATTCTTCTTTCTAAAGAATAGGACAATAATAATGATAGAAATGGTTAAATCATGGGGTCAAATATTCGAAAAGGATGACGGGGAGCAAAAAACAGTATTAATAGTACACTGCAAAATGATGACAAACAAAACAAGTACACAACATAATAAAAAAAAGAAAAAAAGAAAAACAAGTTAAAAAAGAATAATAGCCCATAATCATGTAAGTTTCCTTAAACAATCTAAACATGATTTAATTGACAAAATAGCATTTAGATCGTGGAATAAATTGAATCGAAAACGTACCTCCCGCTATTGCCGTTCTTCACACACTTTCTCAAGCTTATGGGTAGTGTTTGATTCCGGGTTAAGGCTCTTCTAAGCCCTCTTTCTCACTGCTTAGATGGTGTATACAAATTGAACGTGAAAATGAGCTTAGGGGCCTTCCGAATGGATTTCAACGACTTTTAAAATGCTCTTCCTATCACATAGCAGTTATGCACGTCCTCAGATTATGGGTGGATACCAAACGTGATTTTAAACGTTGGGTTAATTGCTGAATTAGTGGGACATGGGATATGTGGACCACTCTTAAGATGGTTATAATTCAACATTCTCCCATTTGGTCCATATATACCATTATTCATCATAATAAGAAACATAATACATGAATCATAGCGATAGGTCCTCCAAAAGGGAGTATTATCTTCCATGTATTACAACACATCATGTCTCTTAAACGCCAGACCATATAACTTAATGAATAAACCCTATGTTTATTCAAGGTTCAAACTTAATGATATTTCTCAAGGTAAATGAATATACAAATATGTGTACAAAACAAATGAGAAAACATCAACTGAATAAGAGTTTCATTAAAACATCAATTGTACATATAATAAAATTACATCTAGGAACCATGTCCCATTCTCGCTACATGGTCCTTAAAATTCTTTGGTGGCATACCCTTAGTCGAAGGATCAGCAATCATCAACTCAGTGGTAATGTGCTTAATGACCACTTTCTTTTCCTTAAGACGTTTTCTAATGGCTAAGTATTTAATGTCGATGTGTTTACTTTGACTACCACTCTTGTTGTCCTTAGCTATAAACACAGTAGCTGAGTTGTCACAGTACAATCTCAAATGCCTAAACACTTAATCAATTATTCTAACCCCAAACATGAAGCTCTTCAACCATACACCATGAAAGGTAGCCTCAAAACAGGACACGAACTCGGCCTCCATAGTGGAAGTAGCAGTCAAGATCCAATTCACACTCCTCCAAGATATAGCTGCGCAAGCAAGCATGAAAATATAACTAGATGTTGATTTTTGTGAATTAACACAGCCAGCAAATTCTGTATCCGAGTAGCCAACCACTTCCAGATTGTTAGTCCGCCTGTACATAAGCATGTAATCTTTGGTCCCCTAAAGGTACCTCATCACTTTCTTTGCAGCTCGCCAGTGTTCAACATCTAGATTACTCTGATATCTCTCTAGCATTCTAACAGCAAATGCAATGTCAGATCTGGTACAGACTTGAGCATACATTAGGCTTTCAATGGCTGAAGCATATTGAATGTTTTTCATCTGTTCCTGCTCAAGCTCATTTTTGGGACATTGAATTAGGCTAAAACTGTCACCCTTCACAATGGGTGCTATACTTGGCGAACAATCTTTCATCCGAAATCTCTCTAGAACTTTGTTAATATAGGTCTCTTGAGACAAACCTAAAATGCCTCTAGATCTTTTCCTATGGATCTTAATGCCAATGACATAAGATACCTCATCCATATCCTTCATATCAAAGTTCTTTGAGAGGAATTATTTTACCTCATGTAGCAAACCCTTATTGTTGGTTGCAAGTAAAATATCATCCATACTTAGAACAAGGAAACAAATCTTGCTCCGACTGACCTTCTGGTATATTCAATGGTCCATGACGTTCTCTTCAAAACCAAACGAAGTGATGATGTCATGGAATTTCAAATATCATCGACGGGAAGCTTGTTTCAATCAATATATGGATTTATTAAGCTTACAGACTAAGTGCTCACCCCACTAGAGGAGAATATTTCAGGTTGTTTTATGTAAACCTCTTCCTCTAGATCACCATTAAGAAACATCGTTTTCACATCCATTTGGTGTAAGTCTAAATTAAAATGGGCAACCAATGCCACAATTACTCAAAAGGCTATTATTCCTTCCATTTGAGTGAATCCTTTGGCAACGAGTCTTGCTTTATGTCTCTCAATGTTACCTAGTGAGTCTTTCTTTGTTTTGAAAACCCATTTAAATCCAATGACTTTTACATCATCAGGCAACTTGACGAGATCCCAGACTTTGTTAGATGCCATTGAATCTATCTCATCTTTTATGGCATTGTACCATAAGTTTGAATCCTTAGAACTTATGGCCTATGAAAACGTTTCAGGATCATTCTCAGCTCCAATATTGTAGTCAGGCTCTTGTAGATACACAACATAGTCACCAGGAATCGCCGATTTCCTTACTCTAGTAGATCTTCTTAATGTTGCATCAATATTCTCCTAAGGAGCAGGATCATTTTGCTCAGTAGGCTGTTCAACAGCTTCAGGCATCTACTGGATCAGGCTCAATAGCTTGTGGAACTTCGTGAACTGATCCTTCAATATGCGTCTGTACTTGAGGTGTATTGTTAACAATAATCAGTCCATTGTTTGAAGTGGCACACTGAGCATCTGAATGATCTTTCCCAGGACAAATGCCCGGGATTGATCACTCCCACTAATCAAGTCATTCTCAAGAAATTTTGCATTTCTTGATTCCACAAACCTAGTGTTATGAGATGGACAATAAAATCTGTATCCCTTGGACCCTTCGGCATATCCAACGAAATCCTCACTTATAGTCCTTGGGTCCAACTTCTTGTCTTATGGATTATAGACTGTTACTTCAGGCGGACATCCCCAAATGCGTACATGTCGCAAACTCGATTTCCAACCCTTGAATAGCTCAAAAGGCGTTTTTGGGATAGCCTTGGTTAGAGCTCGATTTAATATGTACGCAGCTGTCTTAAAAGCTTCAATCCATAAGGAGTGAGGAAGCTTGGAGCCAACAAGCATGCTTCGCACCATGTCCAATAATGTTCGGTCTCTCCTTTTAGATACTCTATTCTAGTCCGGAGAACTAGGCAAACTGTATTGGGCAACAATCCCATTCTCTTGAAGAAATCTTGCAAATGGACCAGTCGCTTGTCCACTTTCAGTGTATCTACCATAGTATTTTTCCACCTCTATCGGATCTCACGATCTTAATTTGTTTACCACATTGTTTCTCTACTTCAGCTTTAAATACCTTAAAAGCAGCTAGGTCTTTATTTTTACTGTTAAGTGAGTAGAGATACATGTATTGTGAGTAATCATCTACAAAAGAGATCAAGTATTTATCACAGTACGCATCCATGTCTCGACTACAAATATTTGCGAGAATGATTTCCAATAATTCAGAGCTTCTCTTAGCACCCTTTTTCGACTTGTTAGTCTGCTTTCCTTTAATGCAGTCTATACAAGTCTCAAAGTCTGTAAAATCTAGAGTACTAAGTATCCTACCATTCACCAACTTTTTAATTCTATCAATGGAGACATGTCGCAATCTCCGATGCCACAACATAGAAGACTCTTTATTCACAACACATCATTTAGTACCAACATTTTCATGAACGTGCACGGTAGTCTGGTTGTCATCGTTTTGCAAATTAATACAAACAAGACTATAAGACAAAGTACCACAGCCAATAACATCAGATTTATAAAATAAATTAAATCCAAAGTCTGAAAAGTTAAAGGAATAACCATCTAATACAAGTCTGGAAATTGAAATCAAATTTCTAGAAAAATTGGGAATATAAAAGATATTTTCTAAATTTAAAATGAAACCACTACTTAAAACTAATCTGCACGTAGGGATGGCAGTTGGACGGGGCGGGTCGCGAGGCCAGGCCACGCCCCATTTGTCGCCCCATTTAATTTTTTTTTAAATTTCAAATTATGTTATTATTAGAGAATAAAATATAAATTCAAAATTTTAAAATTCAAAGTAAACACTTGAAATAAACAATGTTAAAAATTAAATAATTTCAAATAAAATTACGTTTTGACTAAATTTTATTTCTTTTATAATTAATTAAAATTTTACATTTGTATTTTATTATCTAATAATAATATAATTTGAAATTTTAAAAGTGTAAAAAAAAAAAAATTCACGGGTCAGGGTCGGGGCGGGGCGGGGCGGAACTGATTTTTTTGCCATCACTATCTGCACGTGCCAATGGCCACAACATGCGAGGGCATCTTATTTCCTGAATAGATACTATGCTCATTTCTCCCTGGTTTCCGCAGGTTTTGCAAGTCCTACAATGAATTGGTCACATGGATCGTAGAACTAGAATCAATCCACCATGTGTTGTGATTAACATAAATCATATTGGATCCATAACAAACAAGTGAGAGTTAAGTACCTTTTTTGTCAAGCCACTTCATGAACTTGGAGCATTGCTTCTTAAGGTACCCTTTCTTCTTGCAAAAGAAGGACACAATCTCTTTCTTAATGTCCTTTTGAGGATGATTTTTCCTTCCCCTTGTCCTTGGCCTGATCTTTCTTCTTCTTTTCTGGAGTTGTCAAATACACATTTTCCTTCTCACCTTCCTCCATTAGTAGTCTGCCCTCTTCTTGAACACACATAGTCAGCAACTCGTTAATGGACTATTTATTTTTATGTGTGTTATAAGAGATCTTGAACGGGCCATATTGTTGAGGTAAAGTGAA